GGAAAGAAGGGAGGGGAATGAGGAAAGGAGAATATGTATAGAAAATGGAGAAAAGATGGATGAGGGAAGAAGAAGAATGAGGAGAGTGGGAGCAGGTCACACACACACAAGGGGATGAAGAAGAAATGTGGAAGGGAGAGAAGAAAGAGTAAATATAGGAAGATAAATGAAGGCTGGAGAATGGGAGAAAGAGAGAATGAGAAGAGTGAGAGAAGGAAAGAAGAAGAAGAAGAGTCGGAGATGAATAAGGGAGAATAAGAACGGATAAGAGAAGGGAAAGAAGGGAGAGAAGGCAAGGAAGGAAGAAGATAATGCAAGGACTAAAAACTGGATGGAAAGGAAGAGAGAGAGAGAGAGAGAGAGAGAGAGAGGGAGAGAGAGAGAGAGAGAGAGAGAGAGAGAGAGAGAGAGAGAGAGAGAGAGAGAGAGAGAGAGAGAGAGGTAAAATAGACAGACAGTCATGTGCACCCCCCCAGCACATCCATACACAGTCTTACAATCAATTACACTGATGGACTCCTGCCGATCTCTATATACCCCCACACGACCAGTCACTCACCTCCTGCTTTACGGTTCTCTGGTTCACGTCCTGGGCACCCAAAATCCGCCCAGCTGTGAATGGGTACCTGACCATACAGATGAGGAAGCGAAGGCGGTCGAGTGCAGTGCCGGCCATAACACCTTAGGCTGTACACGCATTGCCCCGGAAACATTTTTTTTTATTTCACCCTTTGAAGATGATGGGATGGTGGTTTAAATACTGCAAGAAAATAATTTAACCTTTTTAAGGGTAGTTTAATCTTTTAAGACGACTATTTAACACTTTGAGGTTAAGGAGTTAAGCCATCAGATACTAGAGTGGGAAATATAGCAGTATTATCAACGATCTGCTGTGATATAACCCAATCTAACCCAGCGTAGGTTAGGTTAGGTTGCTTTGGGTTAATTTAGGTTAGATTACGTTAGATTAGGTTAGGTATGGTTAGCTTAGGTATGGTTAGGTTAGGTATGGTTAGGTTAGGTATGGTTAGCTTAGGTATGGTTAGCTTAGGTATGGTTAGCTTAGCATAGGTTAGCTTAGCTTAGGTTAGCTTAGGTATGGTTAGGTTAGGTATGGACAGTTATCACCTCCCTAAAAATCTTGGGAAGTTTTCTGTATATTAATTTACCCCAAAATTGGGTTTATCTTCACACCAAATTTTACCCCAATTTTCTCTATAATTCCCCAACAAATTTTCACCCCCAAAAAAAAAAAAAAATCCCGACATTATTTCACCCAATTTTTTATTATTTCCCTTCGTTTCCCCACACCCAATTTCCCCCATACTGTTCCCAATTTCCCCTTACTCAAACTTCAAACTATTTCCCAATATACACACTACCTTACTGTAGACTATCAACAATTTCCCAAACCCAAAGTTACGTCCCAAAACTTTCAAACCCAAACTTTCAAAAAATGTCCAAAATTTGAAATATTTCCCAAACTTCAGACTATTTCCACAACTATCTCTTCCCTTTATACACAAATTTACCTGCTACATGTATTGATAAATTATTACTTAATTTATATACAATTTTATTAACTAGATATGCATTCAATCCACCGTTCAGTTACAAAACAGCAAAGCGAAGACCTGATTGGTTAAAGGCAATATCAGGGATTATTTCCTATTGGTTGGTAGCCAGCTATTCCAGGGTAGGTGAATTCTGATAGGCTAATTCACAATCAGAGAACAGTTCCAATTAGCTGGAAGCACCTTCGCATAAGTAGAGCCTGATTGGTTAATGTGGTATTAGGGTTCATATCCTATTGGTTGAAAGTAGGATCCCTCCTCCATTATTGAAACGTGATTGGATAATTGAAAATCAGGGATCAATTGCGATTGATTAGGGGTCTCGTTTGGCAGTCGCAGGTCAAATGGGCCCCTAGTCCTAACAGACTCCAATCAAAATAGGCCCCATAGAGGTGATTCACAGGTAAACCATAAGCAGTTACGACTAATTACAGGTACAGGTAGACAAAGACCTCAAAGATATATAATAATGCAGTCAGAAATACAGTGGTTACAGTATATATGGAGAAAAATAAATGAGGTTACAAAACACATGTATCTTACAGGAGAAATTACGAGTAAGTGATTGCATTTGAGGGGAAATTAGTTAAATAGTTACAGCATACAGGTAACTGAGGGGGAAAATTAATTAGTGACAATAAGAGAAATACCACTAACAGGTTACAGTATACAGGTACACGAGGGAAAATCTACACTCATTACAGTTAGAAAATACAGATATCTGAGAGGAAATTACCACTAACTCGTTACATATACGTGAGGGGAAAAGATTGTTTCTAATTGGTTATAGAATACATGTCACTGAGGGGAAAATACAGCCTCTAACTTGTTACAGAATACAGGTACATGAGGGGAGATTACCACTAACTTGTTACAGGTTATGTGAGGGGAGAAAATTGCCCACCACCACATTACAGGATACAGATAAAAGAGGGGAAGGAAATTACCCGAAGTTGGGGCTGGATACAGGTAGCTGAGGTGAGGGGAGAGCTGTATACAGGCGAGATACAGACGTTTAATTAACCACTAATTACAGGTGAGGGAGAGAAGATTAGTTAGAGGTGAATACATATTGACCAAGAGAGAGAGAGAGAGAGAGAGAGAGAGAGAGAGAGAGAGAGAGAGAGAGAGAGAGAGAGAGAGAGAGAGAGAGAGAGAGAGAGAGAGAGAGATCACGTTAATTACGGTACAATCACATTAATTTCGTTAATTGGAGCTAAAATGTCGTAATTTACAGACAAAATCACGTTATTTATACAGGTAAAATCACGTTTTCTATACAGGTAAATCACATTATCTATACAGGTAAATCACATTATCTATACAGGTAAATCACATTATCTATACAGGTAAATCACATTATTTATACAGGTAAATCACATTATTCATACAGGTTAAGAGTCACATCAATATGAAACAGCAATAACAGCTATAAATCACGTTAGAGATAAAACAAATCACGTGAATTACAGACATTTATCATTGCCGAAGAAAATAAACTCGGTATTTGTAGAGAGACTAAGTGATAATCCCCAGTGCAGGTAAGGACAAGAACAGGTGAGACAGTAATGGTGTAACTCGTCTTTTCGGTATTTAGTAAAGTTTAACACCATGATGTAGAGAATAGGAAGGAGTGCAACGTGTTCTCTCTCTTACGTTCACTGGTTTCTTGTTCTTGTTATTTCGGTGTTCAGGATCGTGGGCGATGAGACTGTTCTCCCATGTGTTCACGTTCTCTCCGGGGGGGGGCTTCTTGTGATTTCGGTGTTCAGTAGCCAGAGTGCATTGTTCCTCGTTTATAATTTTTCCGAATATCTTCTGATTTCGGTGTTCAGTAATCACAGTGCGTTCTTCCTCGCGTTCATGTTTCAGAATTTCTTGTGATTTCGGTGTTCAGTAGCCAGAGTGCAGAGGGGGGGGGGGAAGGGGTTAGGGCGTTCAGTAGTGAGGTTCAGAACCCATCACCATCATCCAAGTGTGTCCCCTCAAGGTAAAGTTTTAAGTGCTCCAATACTCAAGACACTTCAAGGCTTTTAAGTACCGCTGCACATCCTCACTTATATAAAAAAAAAGTATCACACGGGTTCACTTTTTTGAGTTCCTAATATCACTCAATAACAAAACAGTAAGTTCAAAAAAAGTTCGAAATTATTCAGTCAAGTTCTACAAATTGCTGTATTTTCCGCCACACCACAACCACCACTTGCAAAATGCGTGACCAATAGTCTTCAATCTTCTTTTTTCTTGAATATTATAGTTATTGAACCTCCATTGCAATCACGATAGTTTTTGATCATTACAGAGGTCTGGTTCACCGTTTACAATCTTTATCACCTGCAACCTTACAATCCAACCCCTGCCACACAATCACACGTTTCGAGCCGCAAAATCACTCAATCACCATTCAGAACTTCACTTTGAGAAAGACAATCACCACTTTCGGAACTGTACTTGAAGTTGCTGTTAAATTGTAATTTCGTGCAATTACCACTATAAGAACAGCATTGGGAATTTCGTTGTCAAGTTGCAATTCCGTGCAATCACCACAATCACAATTTTAAAATTGGTCTAATAAAAAATTCAGTTGAACAAGCTAAAAATCACCGTTTTTTAAGATGTACAATCCTGCAATCACCACTTTATAGATGCATTACAATCGTCAATTTAAAGTTGTACATCCTTGTAATCACCCCATTAAAGATGAACAGCCGTACAGTCGCTATAATCACCAGTCAAAATGTACAACTTTGCAATCACCATTTTAAAGGTGTACAACCATAAAATCACAACTTAGACGTCATACAGCGTTGCAATTACCACTTTAAATATGTACAACCTTGTAAATCAACACATAAGTGATGTACAATCATAAAATCACCACTTTTAAAGTCGCACACCCTTGCAATCACCACTTTAAAGATGCACAGCCTTGCAATCACCTCTTTAAAGATGAACAATCGTACAATCGCCACCCTCAACCTGATTCACTCCACCAACAACCACCTGGAAATCACGAAGCATCGATAAAACCACACACACACACACACACACACACACACACGGAAACCACAAGGCGGCGTTTCCTAAGTGACTACAGCACCCACAGCCTCCACTTAGAACGTTGGCGAGTCCCTCACAACCCGCCACTTGAACACTGCACTTAAAGGCCTCCACCACAACCAGGTTGTAACACGTCCACACAACCAATGCAACATACAGGGCGTGAGGTCACTTTTAGAGCAGAAACCACCACACACACACACACACACACACACACACACACACACACACAGAGCAGCGGCAGCAGTAGGGATCGTGCCAGCAAGAAGCAGGACTTTGCCGCCTTAAAGTGAAACAGTTGATACCATCCTACGGACACACATCTGTGAACACTCTTGGCCAGAGGTCTGCTACCAACACTCGTACCTACACTAGCAACACCCAGAGTCCGACACTGTGTTGCTGGGGCGGCGACCCACACGCAAGGAGAGACAGGGTGTTTCAACCACCCTCTTTTAGGGAACTAAAAAAAATAAAAACACTACAGGGAAGGGGAGAGAGCGCGGCACGTCCTCCTCCTCCAACGTCTCTCCGATCACTGACGGCAGAGCCGGCCGGCAACCCCCTCGAACCGCCCGCCACCGTCGGGAGGAGCCGGGGAGGGGATGAGAGGGGAAGGGTGCGAGGGAAGAGTGAGGGCAGGGGGGAGAGGATACATGGGGCAGCAGGGGAAATGGAGGGTGTGTGGGGGGCGGGAGCGCTGAGTGGAAAAGGAAACGTGGATAGTTACAGAGAGGAAAACATTCTACAATTGTTTCGTCCTACTTTGAGGTATTCTATGAGTGAGTTGGAGGGAGGGGAAGGTGGTAGTGGGAGGAGGAGTGGCGCGGTGGTCACTCCCTTCGGTATTTCACCCTTACAACACTCTCAATAACTTCCTCACACACATTTTCCAACTCATCTGCGACATTTTTTAAAGAAAGATAAATCGAAAATCATATCACCCTAAACAAAATGGTTCCGTAAAAAGAGCGTGGCCACACACACACACACACACACACACACACACACACACACACACACACACACACACACACACACACACACACACACACAAAAGCTACACATCATCTTTAATATTCACCAACACTCACAGCGCTCGCTAGTTATGTGAACAGGAAACTGGGTTAGGTTATTTCGTACATAGTCGTGTCATTATCTTCACATTTACATATCTTAAGACTTTCTATAAACTTAAGGTATTGCTATTAAGGTGACCACACTTAGTATTAGTGATGATAATAATAATAATAATAATAATAATAATAATAACAATAATAACAATAATAATAATAATAATAATAATAATAATAATAATAATAATAATAATAATGAAAATACAACAATAATAACAACAGAAGATCACTAGACAAGAGAGAGCTGACCACGACGCCCTTACAGACAGTCACACCAGGCAGGGGGGGGACAGGCAGGCACCCCGACGCAGCAGCTGATGGGGAGTACACGCCTCGTCTTGGGTCCACGCAAGTTGATTAGCAAGGACGTACCGTGGGCGGGGTCATTCCTTTCCCCTCTGAACCCAATATGTGTACTGTAAGTTGAACCCAATATGTGTTGAGTTGAACCCAATATGTGTTGAGTTGAACCCAATATGTGTACTGTAAGTTGAACCCAATATGTGTTGAGTTGAACCCAATATGTGTGACATGAGCCCAATATGTTTAAGCTGAACCCAATCTCCTATGTTGAACCCAATATGTGTAAGGTGAACCCAATATGTGTGAGTTGAACCCAGTAGCTCGAAGTTATTTCACATTAATGTTTTGTGATAGGAGAGAGGTTTAGAGGGTTAAACCGTCATCATCAAGGTTAAACCATAGTCATTAAAGGGTTAAACCATAATAGTTAAAGGGTTAAACCATCATTATTTAAACCATAGTCATTAAAGAGTGAAAACCATCATCATCAAAGGGTTAACCCATCATCATCATCATCAAGGTTAAACCATAGTCATAAAAGGGTTAAACCATCATCATCAAGGTTAAGCCATAGTCATTAAAGGGTTAAACCATAATAGCTAAAGGGTTAAACCATCATCATTTAAACCATATTCAATAAAGGGTTAAACCATCATCATCAAGGTTAAACCATAATAGCTAAGGGGTTAAACCATTATCATCAAAGGGTTAAATCATAATAGCTAAAGGGTTAAACCATCATCATCAAAGGGTTAAACCACCCTCAACATAATCAAAGCACTACACCATCATCAAAAGTGTTAAACCAGCGTCACCAAACTGCTAAAACCTCACCAATGGGTTAAAACTTTCACACAAAGGGTTAAACAATCCTCTTTAATATGTTAAACCATCATCACTAAACGGGATAAACCATCTTCCTTAAAAGGGTTTCTAAACAAAATCACAAGGTTTACTAAATCGGCCCAGAAGCATCCATGATTTTCCAAGAAATTATTACCTCACAATAAATAAATAAATAAATAAATAAATAAATAAATAATAACAAAATACTCATGGGCAAAAAATTATAGATTAAATTACGCTTAAAAAAATCTATATATTTTTTTATAAGACTCAAGAAACATTTGCGTGACTTTAAGGCGATAATTATCACTATTAATCCTTAAGACGTACCTATTGTAAGGTAATAATACGTCACTAGATGGCGTTAACTCACATACTCTGTCAAGGCTTTTATATCGCTGTGACCTTGACCTTTGACCTTACAATAAACACAATAGCCACATATACAAAACCAGGTAAAACAAGTCTTCCAGTTATATTCCAGTTATCTTCCAGTCACCTTCCAGTCATCTTCAATACAATAACAACACACAATTAAGGGAGTAATCATACGTGACGTCACTTAACTCCGCCTTCTCTCT